TTATAAAAATAATAATTATGGAAATATTAAAAAATAAAATTTTTTCATATGAATATCCAGTTTTATTTAAAAATACTGTAGGCAAACATATTTACATATACATATGTATGTATATGTACAGATATCCATTTATGTAAGTATAAAAATACACATACATGCATACATATGCATCTTTAAAAAGTACTGTAAGCATTCATATGTACATACATGTACATAAATGATGAATATATGGTCGTAGTTCACATTGCACGAAAGCACAGCATACATACATACATACAAACATATGTATGTACAAACATTCATGTAAACAAACTCGTCTGTGGAACGCAACTTCGCAAACAATATCAAATATTTAATTTTCTTTAACAAATCGAATCCTACTCAAATTTTTAATGATTGCTTTAAGTCACCCATTGGAAAATCCGAATCTTTTAACAATCGCCTTCACATAAAAAAAATGCGACACTTGAAACACTTGCGTACACACACAGAACATGCATAAGCATTCACAATTTCAGGCTAATATGCATACATACATACACATGTTTACGTTTTCCATATACCGATATGCGTATGTATGTGGGCATGTGTGTATGTTGGGCACTTTATGAATCCGGCAGTCGCCAGGCATAAACAGTCGCTCAGCCGATCGCTTCTGGTTTGTATCGCGTTTTCAATTATTTTGATCTTCGTCTATGAGGAACATACAATAAGGAAAAACATGTTAATATTTTAATTAAAAATGAATATTTGTGTAACGTTCTCCTTTTGTCATGAAATTCCTATTTTCTGTAACTGCATTATTGTCGCGCGTGTACCCGTTTTTCTATTGTGGAACACTTTTTTCTAGGGTTGTGAAATGTCGTACAGTTTACTTCTCTTAGCTTTGGCAAATGAACTATTAAATTTACATCTCTAATTGACTGCGCTAAATACTTAGTATTTTGGTGAGTACTGCTTTCAAACATATGTATATAAATGCCATACACTCTACATATATAATATATTATCTCTAAAAAGCTGTGCTCAACAATTCACTCTAAATACATGCAGCGTTAGAAAATGCTGATAGTGCGAATTTTTTAGCCGCCGTTATAAGTTTTGTTTACAATTTGTATGAGTGTGCGTTAGCTAGAGATGGGTTTATTTGAAAGTGAATTCTTGAATCGATGAATGCACAACATATATAATTTCAATATGATAGTCATCTCTTATGTGCATGTGTGTGTGTGTGCCAAAGCACATGCTTAATTCTACGGTCAATTCGTGGCATCCTTGACGTGTAATTGCAGCAAAGCGCTAAATCTAAATAATAATCTTATTTTTTTTGTTATCATTTAATACAGTTTTCTATATCAACACTTGGCGGATTTAGTAAAGCGTGTCTAATCAAATTAACCGATGTAAGTCCTTTGTACCTTTATACATATAATGTACGTTTTTTTTTTTTTTTTTTTTCAAATTTAGGTTAGATTTTTGTGCTTGAATAGCCACGATTTGATTGATCTAACAACCCCTCTAGAGCTGGCTGCTTATTTGCATATTATATGGATATCGTTGCATTTAGGAGATTTTTTATATGATAAATTAGGGATTTAATTATTTTTTTTACTAATGCAATCTGTTTAGCTGCGAATGCGAAGAGAAAGGTTAGGTGTGGGGCAGCGGTCGTCGCATTTGCTTCGGTAAGCTAAGGGCTATAATTACAATAAGAGAATTTTCATGGTCAAATGCAGCTGTTAACTGATTAAGCTACGTGTGATCGATAGATATAAATATATATGTATTTACTTATATACGTGCTAATAGTTAAGTATATTAAAGCTAAATTTGTCATTCCATTAAACTCCATTTAACAGCAGCATCAAGCGAGTCAATAGCTGTGCCACAATGGTCTAAGTTTGAACGTTTTACCGTTTTACAATTGCAGTGAATGCGTYAATACAACAACAACAATTGCAACTGGCCGCCTGCTGTGGCAAATTGCGCTTTCAGCGTGGCACAAACAAGTGGCAAATAGGCACAAGGACCTCCCTTCTCTGCGCCCAGTTGCGGCTTTTGGCACTTTAGTTAACCCCTTTTTATGCAGTTTAAAGTGCACAGCGAAAGCTTTGTTGAAAATTCAATTAGCAAAAGTTGCTTAAAAGCACAAAATTGCCTTAAATTGGGCTAAGGACGAATTGCTTTATTTATATAAATGGGTAAACACTGGAGGGAGATGGAGATAGAGAGAGAGAGAGAGAGAGAATAATGAAATAGCGAGAGATAGAAGAAGAGGCACTCACAGAGAGAGAGAGAGAAGGTCTAGAAGGAAAGAGGAAGCGATAGAAAAAGAGGCACACACAGAAATAGATAGATAGAGAGAGAGAGAGAGAGGGAGAGTGAGGAATATATGACTAAATATTCCCAGTATTTATACAAATTGCCTTATTTGTAGAAGAGAGTAAAAAAGGGAGTGAGGGAAATCAAGAGAGACGAAAAGGATAGCAAGAGATAGAAACTAAGGCTACTTATGTTATATAAACTTTTTATACGCAGTTGCCAGCATTCATATTAGGGATCTGCGAATAAGATATACAGATATTAGACTGTTTCGGCAATTAAACCTTCCCGTTCTTTGTTATTTGAGTTGTCATTGCTTTAGCCAGTATTTTCGCATCTTATAGAATTATTGCTTATTATATTATATTATTATTGTATTATCATATACATTATTTACAATTTTAATTGAATTGAATTGAGAATTGAGCAATTGCCCTCTTTTATATATCAATACATTCCTCATCTAATTGAGACATCTTTAATATTATTTTCCTTATTTAAGAATCCATATTTATAAGTAGCTTATAAAAAAGCCTCGCTCTATGTTGGTAACTGTAATAAGGCTTTAACTGCATATACATATATATAAATAATTCCCCCACACAAAAGTTTGTCTTGCTTGGAAATCAGAGAAATTTCCACACGAATAATTCTCTTCGGAAAATTATTTGAACTTTAAGCTGTGGCTAGTAATTTCTTGTATATATGTAAACAAATATACATATATACACATACATGTGTATATATACTTAGTAACTTTCCCTAATTGAATTCAGAGTACAAATAAATCTTTTCCTCCAAACAGTTTAACTGAAGCTAGCGTAAATGGAGCAGCAAAAGGAACCGGAGCAGTGCGAAACGGCGGAGGACATTCTGATTACACAGTATGTGAATCCGCAATTGTTCTGCTACGTCAAGTTGGAGCAGCTGCAGACTGAGGGCGGCTATGTGCGTTCTATGGAGAAGCGTTTGCCGAAGTTTTGTCGTCCGGATCGCCAGCGCACCAGTTATTGGCCGGATAAATACGTCATTGTGAACTATCGGCCGGTGAAGAAACTGTTGCGAGGGCTCGTCGTTGCTAGTCCGGCTCGCGATAGGTTTCTGGTGTGGGCCATTGACTATGGCTTCACCATCAACTGCAGAACGTCGGATTTGTACCAGTTGCCGTACCACCTGCATCAGCGCTACATCAATGTCGAATGGGGCGGCATTCACTGTGTGGTGCCGCACACGGGTGGATCGTGGTCCAAGGTGGCAGCACGATTGCTGGACAAGCGCCTGGACGAAGCGAAGCGTCTGATCTTTAAGCTTCGGCATTGCAGCGAGGAGCACCAGAACTTGGGTCAGCTGCTGATGGATGAGCCGCCGGTGGATGCGGCCAGCTATTTGGTAGAGATGCAATGTGCTCGAATGGAAAACGAGGAGGTCAGCTTGGAGTTTGCTCGTAGAGTCAAGCAGGTGAACCAAGTAGATGTGGCGGAGCTGAATGAAGCTGATGTTAAGCCCAGTTTACGTGTCCTTACCGTGCTCCAGCTGGGTAAGGTAATCTGTAGTCTGCCAGCCCAAGTGCAACCGCATGTGACCTCAAGCTGTCCGCTTAGCAAAGAGTCCCAGCAATACTTGGATTCCATTTTAGGGAATCGCTATCATAAACTGGGCTCCATGACCCGTAACCTCACCTGCCCCTCAAAGCAGCTGGTTAGGTTGGAGGGCCTTTCCCGGATACGTGAAAAGCTTGCGGTACCCCAATCAGCGAAGCGTCTCAGCAGAATTAAGAGCAGAGCCGATGGCTCCGTGGATACGGCGCTCTCCCGTCCCACGGAAGCGAATAAGGTTAATAAACGCAATGTTGTAACATATTACAAAAAGAGCCTAGAAGAGGTCAAGGAAAAAAAGACGGAAGCTGAAGAGCAGTCGAAAAACCCGCCCATAAGTGCGAACAGAGGGGAGCATGATACTGATTCCTTGTCTACAATCCAACAGCTCCCCGAAAAACCTACAGAAGTCCAGAAACCCTCATCCAACGATAAACTGCAGCTTCTCAGCTATGGGCTAAGTCATTTATCCTCGGATCAGAATCCTTCATCCAAGTCTGCTAATTTGGAAAGTACAAGCGAACCCAAGTTCGTAAAGACCATTCAGCCGTATCAGAATAAAGTGATTTGTGTCTACGATAGATCTGTGAAGAGGGACTCAATGAGTGCAAGTCCGCTTCAGACTTCATCCCCCAATTTGAATATACTAAAGCAAGTTAATAGAATATTCATCCCGAAAGCCATTATGAGCAGTGAAAATCAACCTATCCGACCGGATAAACTAAAAGCCATTCCTGATTCATACAAAATTACGAACGTTTTTACGAAGCCGGATAATCTTGGACACTACACGTTGAGCAAGGAATCCATTAAGCCCACTCAAGAGACGTCTTTGGAGCTGAATTCGGATAAGCTGGAGCGCATCTATAAAGAATACTCAAATTCAAATAATAAGCCGCCAGTGTCTAACAATTCGCTTGAGCTGCAGCGCATCTATAATGCAATCCGTTTGCCAGTCGAGACTAATGCAATAGCCCCGAAGATCTGCAGTCTGGAGAACCAAGTGCTGGCGCACAGCAAGATTCCGGTGCAGCCGGTTCACAGCTTAGGCAACTCGCTCTTCTGCCCGGAGGTGCTGCTGGCCATGCAGACGATGAATATGAAGCCCACGCAGGCCACGCAGCGCTACGCCTGGCCGCACCTGATGCAGGGCCATTCCCTGGCGCTGGTGGATCGCATTGGCAGCGGTCGCTCCTGGTGCTACTTGCCCCCGCTGTGCTCCCAAGTGGTGAGCTCGATGGGAACGACGGGCAGTGGCGTCAGTCTGGGTCCCGTGGCACTGCTGCTGGCGGACTCCGTAGCCAACGCCCAGGCGCTGTTCCATCAGTGCGATCAACTGATGACTGGTTACAAGACGAACATCCTGAAGGTGGTCAACTCACATGCGCATTCTCGCCAGAAGTTGCGACTGCGACTGCTCAATTCCTGCGGCATCCTGGTCACAACGCCCACTCACTTGAAGCAGCTGCTGCAGGACGAGATGCAGCTGATCGATCCACGTCGCCTGAAGCACTTCATCATCGATGACTTCGATCGCATGTACGCGGCTCAGTCCGTTCTACTCAATGAGCTGCTGCAATTGCTGCAGAGCATTTCCAAACTCCGGCTGCAATTGGTGCTCATCGCCCAGCAGTGGCATGGAAAGGTCTTTCTCGAGCTGTTGAGGCGCTTCGACGATAATCCTCTGCTGCTCTTTGGCGACTTCCTCGAGGCAGCTGTCTATGGCCGAGTCAAACTCAATGTGGCTGTGCTGCGTAGCAATAGGAAGATCGCACAGCTGCTCGACTATTTGGCAGCTCAACATCCTCTGCAGAGACGCACAATCATCTACTGCAAGGACGAGAAGGAGTTGGCTGTGCTACGGAAGGCGTTGACTGAGGCGGGCTACGACTGCCTGGAGTCCATTGATGCAGCTAGGCAGGTGAGTGGAAAAGTCTAGCTTTATCAATCTTTGGCCAATTTTTCCTTTGAATGTCTATTTTCCAGCAAGTGAAACAGTTGCTATTGGCCACGGATGCAGTGCAGCAGCCTCCGCTGTCTGTGGGCAATTTTGAGCTAATGATTCATTACAGCTTGCCCGATTCTTGGTCCAAGTTCTCGTATCGCTTTCGTGTTTTCAGCGAGAATATTATCAACTGTCTCTTGGCCCAAAAACTGACTACGAGAATCGTCTCCTTCGTGATCCTGGACGAGAGCAATAGCCACGAGCTGCCTCGTCTGGTGCAGTTCTTTGAGGCTCACGACTTTGAGATGAGCGAGCAGATGCAGCAAATGGTGGCCAGTTGTCGCCAGCTGATTGATGAAAGTCGTCAGCTCTGCCCCCAAATCCTGAGCAGCGGCGAGTGCGTTCAGCTGTACTGCAACCGGCGGCATCAGCCAATCCGTGGGGATTTCCAGCGGCCCTGCCAGGCTGCTCTGTCGCAACCAGGCACTGTGTTGCGCGGCAACATCATCAAGGTCTACAATCCGGTGCACTTTGCCATTATGCCCGTCAGTTTCAGGGGCAGCGAGAGCCACTCCTGGCAGGATGCCCCAAATATGGCCACCCTGCGCAGGCTCAGCACCGCGCTCGAGCTGCACATGAGCATTGGGCAGAATCGCCGACCGAAGCGAACACTGAATATGTCCGACGTATGCGTCCTGCACCGCCAACTCAAATACCAGCGGGTTCGAATTGTGGATTTGTCCGAGCGCCTGGTGATTGTGCAGCAAATGGACGAGGGCACGGAGCTGCTAAAGGTCCAATCTATGGAGCTATTCGAGTGTGATGCTCGTTTCGCAGTGGAGCCACCGTTGGCCATGGACGTTCGTCTGTGTGGACTGATGCCACCCATTGGCGAGGACGACTGGCAGAAGGAGGCGACGGCGTGGGTGACGAAGCTGCTGACCAACCTCAATGAAAACCAACATTTGCAATTAACCGTAGAGCTGAGCATGCTCAATGTGGTCTACGCGAATGATATGGCCGTGCTGCAGGATTGCCCAGCGCTACAAACGTGTGTGAGGGCTACGCAGCTGTACGATGAGCTGATCCTTCGGAACTATGCCAAATCTAATGAGCAAATCATAAAAAACTTGCACAAGCTGCATGTCGAGGTAGTGAACGAGCAGACGCGATTTCAACAAGAATTGCCAGGTTTAGAGGCTGGCCCAAGGGCAGACGAAGAGGCGGTGAAGCAGAATGAGCTGGACCAAGATAAAGCTAAGCAGGATGAGGGTCTTGAAGAGATACCCAAAATCACAGACTGTGTAGAGAATGGCGAGCTAATGCAATCCGCTTTCAGTTGTCAGATAAATTCCTTAGATAAATACTCGAATGAAAATGTTAAGGAGATGTTAACTAAGTCCGAGGGGATAGAGCTCCAACACGATAGCAAATCCCCATTTAAAAACCTTGATAATACGAATGATGAGTCAGAGAAGATTGATACAGAGATAAATATCGAGAAAGAAAACGATTGCCCCGCCAACCACTTGATTAACAAGGATACGCTAGCTTCCAAGGAATCAATTGAGCTTCAAGAGGAGCTTCAAGAGGAGCTTCAAGGGCAGCCAAGTGACTCCACGTACCTCAAAGACAGCATGTATACATTTATGGAGATTCTGCTGAAGGATCTGAATTCCGATGATGCAGCGCTTCAAGACGCAGCCAAAAATATGATGGAAGGAATACTGGCAACTGATAAGACAAGCCCCCAAAAACCAAATACTCCTAAATTGGAAAGCAATGGCGATATATTGCCAAAGTCCAAGCTACAGTTAACACCCGCTAGGTTGGCCAGTGCCTTATGCTGTGCTGCCGTCGCCGACAATGCAGTGCGTCCAAGGGTGTGCTGGCATCAGACTCTGCTGCAGCTAGAGCTCATCATCGAGCAGGAAGTGCCACAATACCAGCTCGTGCATCGGGACAATGTCCTCTTCTATCAGGTCACCGAGACGACGCCGCCGCAACGCTGCATACTCAATCTGCTGGGCGAGGTGAAGATATTATCGGAGCAGCAGCACGGCTATCGGCTGCACATTAAACTGGCCAAGGTTGGCCTCCGTGTCTACTGGCCCACTTTGCTGGACTCTTTGTCTGCGCAGCAGCACTGCCATTGGCTGGTCTATGACACGGAGCGCGCCAAGATTCCTCACTCCAACGCGGGTCGCATACATTGGATGCGCTACATCCGCAAGCAATATGTTCAGCAGGAGGGCGAAAGCGACGATGGCGACGATTGGCCATCGGATGACCGGAATGATTTGTCGGACATAGATGTCGGTATAAACGAAACTGCAGATATATAGAAACTCTACAATAGAGTGATATATCAAATACTTTATAAACTATGTTCGCTTCTCTATACTTTTTATTCATACTGGAGCTGCATGATTTTTGGTTTCTTTCATAAATTTGTAAATTTATATGCAATTCCTTATTTATTCCACCAAGAATTATAGCACAGACATTTTAAAAGTTTGTATACATTTTTACCAATTTTTGCAATTTTTAAAAATAACTTATTCTTCAGGTCAGATATTTGAATTCAACTTGATTTCTACAAACAAATTTTCTAAAATTAAACAATTGACTTTTTACTATTTTAAATAT